GTATAGTTAAGCCAAGTAGATTCATCCTACTACTCCTATTCCAAGAACCACATGCAAAACATCAAACAGATTTTCAGACCCTAGCAGCCCTGCTGGCTTGGTAATGCTTGATGATCCTAACCGACAAGGGGTTGCATTGCGCTATGCTCGTGGCAGCGTGGCAGCGCGTGGCAAAGCATTAAACGCGGAAGATTAAACACTATGTTCCCCCTTAACATTAATACGCCGTATTAATACAAATTTGACCCATTACTTACCCATTCCCTAACCTATCATACCATAACTAACTAGTTAATATAATATAACAAAAGAACTTGTAATAGCCTATTATATCTACACCTTTTCCGTTTCAGCCACAGGCTTGTTCGGCTTTTTAACGGACTTCCACTGTAAAGCACAGCAGGACAAGAATGCCAAGCCGGCGAGCGGGACTGCAACGAGAAGTACGGTATGTAGTGCTTCGTCGTACAATTTAAGTAGAGCGGGAAGCTGCTCGGGCGGGACGACATTTCGGAAGGCGATGGCCCCTGCGCTGACGATAGCATGGACGTCAAGACCTGGAATATCCGTTTGTTCGATGAGATCCGCAAGACGGTTCTGGAATACGCTATTGCCCACCGATATAAAAATAGCGCCACCTAACGATTGGGACGCGACAACGGCGGCAGTACCGACGGCCAAGTCGTCCGGTCCTAGCACCGTTTGCACCGCCGTAAAACCCTGCTGAATTGACATACCGAATCCAGCCGACGCGAGAATTTCGAATCCAATCCACATTGCCGTACTCATGCTCGGGCGGAACAGCGTGATGATACCACAGCCTACGGTGCCGATTGCACTTCCGAGAATGGCCGGCGGTGTGAAGTATCCGACGACCGAAACGAAAATCCCCGAGAATACGGAAAACAAAGCGTTTGCAACAAAATACGGGATCATGGCAACGCCTGATTGAATGGCACTATAGCCTAGAATAGACTGGAACCAGATCGGGAGGAAATACGTATGGATCAGCAAGGCGCCATAAGTAAAAAATGCCATCATGCACGAAGCAGCGACGGTCCTTTGCTTGGCAATTGCGGGCGGGATCAGAGCACGGTCTTTCTTCCACCAGAGCCATCCGACGAATACAATTGCCGTCACGCCGGCACCGCAGAGCAGGCCGATAATTTCAGCACTCGCCCAATCAGCGCCTGTGAGAGTGTATTCCAGGGCCAGGAACAACATCACCGAAGCGCCTAAGAGAATTACATTCCCAATAAGGTCGAGACTAATAAGTCGCTGTGTGATTTTCTCCTTGGACACCGTGCGCGGTTGCGGGTGATATACAAGTATCATCACAATGATAGTCACGGCACCAACCGGGAGGTTAATCCAGAAGCACCATCGCCATGTCTGCATTAATGTCAGTCTGTCGGTTCCTTAACAGCGTAGAGGTTATACATACAACTAGATCCGTAAATACACCTCCGATAAGAGGACCAACAGTAGCACCAACACCGAACCTACAAAAGTTAGCTTACCGCGATCGACACTCAGGGGTTATAAAGCTGCTTACATCAATCCAACTACCGCAGTATATATCGGCCTAACGGTTAATGGTACAGCCGTAGCAACTATTACGAAGCTCCCAGTTAAGATGCCTGCGCTGCCAAACCCGGAAATCGCGCGCCCGATGATTAATGTTGCCGAAGATGGCGCGAAGCCGCTGATGATAGAACCTATTTCAAAAACAAACATAGAGAGAAGATACGACCATTTGGCGTTAAAGAGAGTGAAGACGCGTCCGAAGACGGGTTGGAAGGCGCATGCCGTGAGGAGGTATGATGAGCCATACCAGCCAATATCCGCCGTAGACTTGAACTCGGCGGTAATAAAAGGAATTGCCTATATTTCGCGTTAGTCTTCTATTCCAAGTTTGAAGCATCCCTTGTTTACTCACGGTTGTTATGATAGTTCGATCTATAGAGATTAAGAAAACGACTAATGAGAGACCGATAATGAGTAGAAGTAAAGGGATTCCTTGTAAGAACTGATTCTGATCGGTAGCTTCGGTTATTGTGACGGAAGACCGTTGGCTTCGCCTATCGCTGTCTATTTGTGGTGGTTCCGGCTCGTACGGCCGCGAAGTCCTGCAAAATTGCAACCCCGGTTTTCCTGGGTGCCTCTGTTCCCCGACAGGCGTGACGAGCCGTTCCTTGGGCGTAGATGAGACGATTCTGAACTTCGCGTCATCTGTCCTTACAGTCGATAGATGCAGGAGTTGAGGAGCCGAATCTATCAGGAGATCGGCCAAGGTAGTCTGCCTGTCCAAGTAAACTTGGCTATCCGATTCGCTGAATCCGTTCAACGTTTTGCTCGAGGCCGTGGAAATGTCTCTGGAGTGTGAATATTTCAACTTTGAAGCGCCATTGATTAGTTCGCCGGCGAGCCAGAGAGGAGAGGCCGCGCGAGGCGGAGAGAGGGTCGGTTCAGCATCGCCATCACATTGCGTCGAGGAGAGGCTGACTCTGCCATCGTTAGAAGTTGCGGACTGATACACTGACGAGGTGTCGTCGTCCGACGAGGTACGATGGTTGCCGTCCTCCTCCATCGCGCATTTACTATTATCTCCAGATTCGACAGGTTCGATAACCAGAGCAACTTCAGACCCAAATCCAGATCTAAGGTAGTGAAGACAGTAGGAAAACATGTAAACGAGCGTTGGAGACCGTGTTACCCCGGTCACATAGGTACCGACTCACCGTGGAGGCACGACGTCACTTACACGCCTACTCGGTCCACCTCTTCCGCGGGTATGGCACCTGAATGTTAATTTCCCCAATGCCGATGGAGCCCAGACCTTAGCTCACAGTTGCGCAAGCAAGCCTCCACGGGATAGGAAGCTGCCTTGTTTTTTCCGCAGATGGCGCTAGTTCTGGATGTGTCGATCCCGGTAAATTACCTACTCTCCCATTGGAAGAGTTGACAAAACTGCTTTGCCAACATGGGATAAGCTGGAATGCCCAGGCTACGAGTAGTAGGTAAAACGACCTACGATAGAGGATCCCAAAACAAAGAAGAAAGCGTTACCAAGTAGTATAGATAGTAGTATGCATGACAAGCAAGTTCCATGTGTTAAGGTCGGCGATCACTATTAACGTTAAAACAGAAGCTTAGCGGCGCTTGGACCAATAGTAGGAAGTATACTACATAGGAAGCGAAAAGAAAGCTGGCAAGATTCAATAGCGTTGTTGAGCTGGCGCTGGAGCGCGGCGATGTCGATCCTACCGTTGCTGTGGATTCGGTGGATACGAGCTGAAAAAGGCCCGGCCTAAGCTATGAAGCTTTAGAGTAGCCAAAGCCAAGAAGTCTTTAGAGTAGAGCATTAGAGTGAGTTCCATAGCCTGTAGGGGGGAAACTAGAGGCGAGACAAAAGAGATACCAAAATACCACAGTAGAGACAAGAAGAGAACGCTATCATTGAATCGGAGCTTGAAAGGGGAAGAGATCTGCGGCCCGCCGTCTTGGAATTTAGTAAAGTGGATTCGTGACGGATGTGGGCCGAAGCCACCGCAGCAGCTGCAGGAGCCACCGAAGTCCGGGACTAGTACCGCTCAAATTAACGCTGTTATCCCTTAGTCTTGCTTACATGTACATAATAAATTACCTATCTATACCTTGACCTAAATCTTTAGTCTTTTTTTTTTATTCTTCCCGTTTTAGTACTTCGTAGCACTTGTAGCTGAAGTACCTAACATATGTATCCAATACATGCGTCAGTTAAACGGCACTACAGCATACCCGCGTTACCGGAGTTGCGCAACCAGCGTGTAATATTCCCGTAGGAGTTCGAGATGTACTAACTAATGTAACCAATCTTACCAGGTAAGACAGCCAGAGACATTATTCGCATGATGTAAAAAATAAAAAATAAAAAAAGTCCCCTAGCGTCAAGTCCTATGGAGCCTCAGGTCTTACTTGAATAGGATGTTTATGATGTCTACCATCCACGTGGCTTGCCGAGAAGAGACTATTGTACTCGGTACTGCTTGTCTCCGTCCTTCGTGCAATGCCTAACTTTGAATTTGCCCCCAGAACCGGTTAGACAAAATACCGTAATTCCACCAATCTTTACTGTTGACGTGATTCACAAGTGTTACTTACTTACCATGGTTCGGTTTGCCTCTAGTTACTGCAAGTTTGTTGGAACTACTGGCTATTGGGGATTCTGCTTTGTTAGACTATTAAATCCTACTTGCTTACTACGATTTATAGGGTTATACCTTGATAGTCTATTCAGAGTATAATGAAAAAAATGTTTGCTATTGACACAAGCTAGTAGCTTGACAGCTTTCAAGGGCAGTTAAGCGTTATTGGTTGGTAGCAGGTTGATATAAAAATAAAAATAACTTGTTTCTTATCTTTCCAACATCCAGGCTTCTTTGTATCCCGAGTCATAAGCCAATCTTTACACTACGTCCCTGGCTTACTCTTTCAAGGGATAAATTTTTTTTTTAAGTTACCCTTGAATTCGTCTTCGACGCCACGAAGCCGGGAATAGCTACAAAGTGCTTACAGACGTAACATTATGTTTCGCCCTGTTTACTTCCAGGCGCGCACGCGACTGACGTGGTCAATCAAGCTTCTCCAACTGCAAGATAGAGTTGGGGGTCATCTCGTATTAAAATTAGATAGTAATATATTAATGATATCAGAATACGCAACCGCTGCCCTTATGTGTGACCCTTAGATATGTGACTATTATGACCAATCGTTCCAAAGGGATCAGGTTCTCTTTTGTTTATGTTACATCGACATGTATGTATTATATTAGCTCATTATACTTTAAACTACATACATAATGCAAGGTATGTAGGTGAGTATGTAGGGTGCCGTATGCCAGGGATATGGTACAATAATAATGAAGCTGTCGTTATGGTAGATGGATGGAATGCAAGCGATGTATCTCAAGAACGCCACTCTAATTACTGTTGATGACAATGAGACGTGATAGGAGGCGATCATAATATCTGCGTCTTTTTCAAACGCGCAAGCTGCATGAGAGTGTTGACTACTCCAACAATGCCTGCACCGTCCGTGTGTCTTCCCAAGGCCTCGCAATCCGAGCCCGCGAATTCGGCCTCGAGATTCTGTTGGGTCTGGCCGGCAAGGAGTTGCGCGGTCTCAAGCCCCTTTTGCCTCTGCGCCTCAATGCCCTGCATTGTGACCTCGTCGAAAGCTTTTTCCTCGGATGTACCTGCCGGTAATAACCCGGACATCTGTAGCATGAGTTCCGGTGAAACAGTCTTGCGGCCGGATTTAAAGACGCATTTGCTCAAAGCTGTGGCAAAGATATGCTTGTCCGGCTTGACCTCATTTTCCATGTTGCTGCTGTTGGACGATACGCTGTCGAGACTAGAGCGACGTAGTTGATCCTCATCTAATTCTGTAGTGCTATTCCGTCGGCTCTGACTCGGTGACTGCTCGGGATACAGTGAATAATTCTTTGGTTTAGCGGCGTCCTTGCGGACAAAGTGGGTTACGATGTAGATCCATTTCTCGTCCCAGGCTAGAATTTTAGACCACATTTCGTACTCTTCATATGGGCGTACTTCGCGCTTGAAGTTGCATGATACTGCGCCGAGTGCAAGGCCGAACACGGGCTTCTTAGACCCGGTGTATGCAGCGGTTCCACCGCGCATCTGATCGATGCCCTTCGCGAATAATGTGCAGACTAGATGAGTTCGTGCGATATCGACGTCCGCGAAATATGACGAATTAGATTTGTGCATGTTGAAATCGATCTCCATGAGTTGTGCCGTAGAAGAAGTGATGATAGGTTGAAATATGTGAATAGGCGTGAGCGGCACGGCTGGCCGTTGTGTTCGTAAGATAAAACGGAAAGCGTTAACGAGTCGAAGCTTAAGAGCATGTTAGTTTAATGATTGGATAAAGATGAGATGGAAGTTACTTACATGCCACATAAATGGCATATTCTTGATGTTTAATACGACGAATAAACATAGTAACGTAAACCAGAGCGTCGACCATGTTAGGTGAGGGTATATTAAATTTGTAATAGAGGGAGTATATGGTTGGATCTCGGCGAGGGGACCTTCTGATGAGAAGTCATAAGTTGATCCACGGCTCTCGTTAATAGAGCCTAGGATGTATGTCGTCGACATCTTGATTGAATCTAGACAAAGGAAATTTTGAAGGTTGTAAAAGTTGGAATCTATTGTAGGTAGGTTATGAAAATTTCCTACTGGCATGAAAGATTGGCATGAAATATCAACATCTGTTTCGCTGGGCAACATCATGTAAAGGTTTCACAAGATACGGCGGTTATCCGCAACGTTCCCGCACGCATATATGTCATATATGTTGGGAAAGTCCAGCTGAAAGACAGGAAGCAGCCTAACCCGCGCCCCAGGTTGTGATATCACTTAGATGAAGGATGCTATGGTCTAGCCTCAAGCTGTGTAGCAGCTAACAACGGAGAGATAAGAAGCCCTAAGGCGCCCACCCTTTGTCTATCTGTTATGGGCGGAACTCCTTTCCCTGCTATTGCTACATGCGTGAGGTACTTACTGTAGGTAAGTTAGGCATTATGCTACTTTATTTACCCATTAGCATCGGGCTAGGAGATGACATGTCAAAATAGGTAGTGATTGACATATCTGAATCTAGTGTAGAAGAACGGAACGATTAATCCATGATTCAGCGATGTCCAAAATGGGAGGAATCCCACGATCTAGTAAAAGTCAATGCTGTAAGTCCTTCCGAGTCAAGTAAACGACCGTGCTCTTTGTGGAGAATAGCGTATAGGGTGACGCTGTGCTGGGTTGCTAAGTTGTCGGGTTGCTGGATAACCCTCCAGGTCTGCCCGGCATCGAGAGCATCAGATGCCCCGGAGGGTCCAGAAATGTCTCATAAACTGTTACTAAAATGTTTCCAAGTTCAAAACCAGGTTACGGTTACGCTAGGGCGTTCGGAGAGCGCGGTCAGTAGGCCAGCGGCTGGCCTCAGCCTATCTCTCCGCATGATACCCTTGTACGATAGGTACATATCGGGCAACGCGCATAAGCCTTCTTCCCCTAGGAATCAAAGCTGTTTTCATCCTTAGAAGATACGAAAAATTAGGGCACTATAGGTTACATCGCTGTCACATGTGGGTAAGTATATTCAGATAGGAAATTTTTGTTTGCTTCGGGTTGAACAGTTCCCGGTAGCCTAGAATAGCGTCTTATAAGCGTAAGATCTTTTTTCTTAAAACCGCCGGTATATGACGCTAAGCTAACTGTCTTAAGTAAGTGGGCGAGAATAGCGTATTGGATATCGGCTGAAACATTGAAGGTGTTTATTGGTTAGTTATTGAATAAAAACAACTAAACAAAACTAAGCAAAACTAAATAAAAGGAGGAAAAGCCAAGAGCCAGTTAAGCTTTCGGCACATTGGGGAGTTTGTGTGACGTAGCTTAAATGACGTTCATCAAGATTAAGCAAGATCGTACATTAAATGCAAAGCATAATACGTCTTTTAATTTTGATCTAAAAAGAGCTTAACCACAACTTAACTACTATTTACTAAACATGTAATATTCTTGTTGGTAACTATATAACAACTCAAACTCGGTACCTAAGTTAGATAATATTATTTGTACTATGATTTATATACTGTAGGGTATCATCGATCGATCTCGATCACGTAAAAAGAAGCGGATATCCCCTACGGCCCGTTATGTAACGTACTAAGATAAAGATTTAGCGTACTTGACGGCAAGTGTCGGTAGTTGGGTATTTATGGTTAGGCAGATGGGAAGAAATATATCTCGTATCCTGTAGTAATGACCTAAACTTGCGAAAGCGAAGAAAGTATTTGATACTTGCGGAATAGGTACATAGGATTTACTATTATGGATGGACATTTCATTTGGCGATAACTATCGGATTTAAAAAATTGAGTGCCCTAGCTGAGTTTAATAAGAACAGGGTTAGTATACAGCTGGTAAGAGAGGCTGAAAGACCCTTGTAATGAATGCCTTTGTTCCTTGATTATTGCTTGTAGTTACTAGGGATGTATCCAATACATTACTGATATTTCTAATGGGTGATTGGTTAAAATGTTGTTTAAATACTTAAAATCAATACAAACAGGAAATAAGCTAAACCTGCGGGGTCAGTAACAGTTACATCCCACAGCAGGGGGCATTGACCACTTACAAGGGTCCACTTGCAAGGGTCAAGGAGATTTCCGCCCTGTCGATTCTCTTGGCCGTCACGCCTCTTTTTCAACTTCAAGCCAACTTGATAAATGATAATCTAGAACATAATCCAAACCCCCCTGCTTGCAGACAACTACCGAATTTTGATACGCCTTACTTTATTTTTCTTTGAAATCATTTATTTCTCATTATTGCTATGAAATTTCTGCTAAAACCGCTAACCTTGGAAACAACCCGAAAATGCGTACATATTAGACTAAGAATTATACATTTTCTTTAGTTTTAATGATAGACAGGGACGCCGACTCCATCCGCCCCGGACCATGTTCCCTTTTCCCCTTCCGGAACTTAGGAAGATCTGACATGTTGACGATTAGGTATCCACAGTCCATGCAAGTATCCAAGCGATGGGCTTGAATAGGTAAAGCTGACAGAAAATCACTTTCTGGAAACTATCGAGCTGTTCATATGTTCCACTCCGCTGCAGCTGTCGGCCACCATGGCCGCGCTCTGCTTCATCGATGAGACCGCGTGCTTATCTGACTTCTTATTGGTCCTGCGAGTAGATGCCTTCCTGTATGTGGCGATGTAGAACATGATAAAGAGCACTAAATACGAGCTCAAGATCAGGCATCCACAGACAGCTGCGAAAGGCTTACCCGCGCATCGCCCTAAATGCGGCAGATACGGAGCATGAGCACTAGCAAAGTAGTCCCACGATGCGAAATAAACAAACCCTGTCATCTTTGTTAGCGTCTCTCATTTCAAAAAGTAGTCCGGTCAGGGCCTTACCAAGGTCGAGAATGAACTGGCCAATCTGCATTCGGGTAATCCACTCCTTCCACCAAACCTTGACACCCCGTGCGCTTTGGAAGTAGTACCAGTACATCACGACGTGCACAGTGAGGTTCAGAGTAATCGGGACCCATGAGACCGACGTGTTACCGAGCAGTTGAGTGTAGCACAACAACGCCGTTGCCGGATGGTGGTAAGTGTGAAGGAAGGTAAGAGGCTTCTTCTTGACCATCAAAAAGACAGTGTCAATAAGCTCGATATATTTGGTGATATAATTTAGCTGGGTCACATTAGCATTTTCAGCTTGATAAGCCTTAGACTTCAGTACTCACATAGTAGAGGGTTACAAGTTCGTCAGTCCAGCCATCTGCACCGCAGATGTTCGAGTAGAGGCCATGCTTCCAGATAGTCGGGGCTAGTTGCTCGATGAAGAGAACTAGAAGGCCACCGCTCAGTAGCGTTAAGAACAGGTTGTGAGCCTTGAACAGACCGTTCAACTTCAGCGGCTCGCGGTTGCGCATGAACTCGCGGCCTCCGAAGACGACAACGAGATACAGAGCAATCATGCCCATAGTCTCGGTAACGGTCGACATCGGAGTGACTCCCTCCTTGAACTTGAACTCGTTTGCATGATATCCCGTAACGGACATCCAAAGCTTGTCGAAAGCCTGCCACGGCGCGATCTTGATCACGCCGGGCGAGGCCTTGAAAGCATGGATAGAATCAAAAGACATGGCTAATTAATAAATATGAGAATAATAGGGAGATTGACGAGGCCAGCCGAGAAGCCCAAGTGTCACAATGCTGAAGGGAGAGTTCCGGTGAAAAACGTCTGGTTCTGTAACGGATTTTGAAGTCGAAGGTCGTTACTATTATAAGCGCCCAATGATCTGGATAGAGATTAAGTGATCTATGTCATACCGCGTCGACTAAAGAGCTAGTCTATAATATCAACCGGCTGAAAACGGATAGGTTGAACTAACAAGTCCAATGAACTTAAGAATAATCCCGGATACTCGGTCGAAGTTATTCTATTCTAGGGGTTTGGTCAACTCTATATTAGATACCCCACATAGAACATGGCATGAAGGTGCGGTTACACCATTGCTTTTGATGCTAATTACAAGTAAAACAGTGCATCTTTAGGGCCTAGATGATGGCATATTTTAACGGAATCTTAACAACTGTGGATACGTTTATTTCTATAGTCTCGGACAAAAGCCTCCCGGCCAGGGCAATGTGGCTCCTAGATATCCTGGACAGGTATGTATCTACTAATTCCCTTTCTCGTTTAGGATTTTGGAGTCTATCGATATGTCTTACCTGAGATGGCTTTATGGTATGTACCATTATATATGGTATGCTTAATAAGTCACGGTGTGAAGGTTACATGCATGTGATTACAACTGGAATCCTTGTTTGTTCCATTCAGAAAGCCCAGTAACTTGCCCACACACCCAAATTTTAGGACCAGTCAGGTCGACATAGTTGTCGCCCCCCCTGTCCTACCCGATAAGAACTCATCGGTCTAGATCCTACGTCCAGCTGACCTGGTAAGTACCCAGAGTCAGTCATTGCCAATACGTTCAATATATTTCCGCTGTTGTTGGCCAAAATGTCGTCAAGCCAAGATTGTGGACAATTCCGCACTCGTCTACAGTGCATTCGAAAAAAGAGGCTTTACGTCAGTGGGATATACAATTCAAGGACTTATCCTCTAGTGCCGCTCACTTGGCATACTACTACAAGGTAGTGGAGTGGCCTAGTTCCTAGAGCCCGGATAGCTGGGACCCGGGTTTTTCGGCGATATTGCTACGTGTACCTAGCCACGGTTATCCACAAAACTGCTACGGATCTAAACCGTAATGGCGTTATCGACAGTTGAGCTATACATCGTATATGTTCCTGTAACGTCCCAGCATCGATGGCTTATTAGTGCCGTTGGCTCGTGGGTTTTCAGACCTAGCGATGCGTAAGGTCGATAATTGCAAAGATCGACGTCACACAAACTTCATCAATGCCTGGCCCGAGATTGCGGGCTGAATAGACCCAGTTCTGGGTTAGTATGCTTTTGATCCCAGTTCTTAGATCTAAGTCCAGCTCACTGGGCGACTGGGCGGTCCTCTCAGTAAACCCCTAGGTTAGATCCCAAGACTTGCCTCGAAATTAGGTGGGCCCCCACCTCAGACGTTGTCTTACACGCCTTTTCCTAGCATGGCATCATCGCATATCTCGGCGTATTCCCGTTTGTCTAGGTATCTATATAATTTCACTCTTTGTCAATCCTATCAACCCCGGTCATCATGTCCGTAACCTTACACCAGAGTTGAATCTCATATACTCCTCCTCTTCCTTACGTTCGGCTTCGAGGCCTTTGTCCTTGTTCTACTGTCCTCCTACCATAACCTTTCAAGATGTCCAAAGTCACCATGACTCCGGTCCTGGCGACGACGGCAGCCGCCTCGTTTTTATACGCGCGCTATGCTGAACTGCCAATTGCCTCCACGATCGCAACCTCGCTGGCTGTTGTGCTTCCTTTATACATTGTCGTCTGGCTTAGCTGGATATTCCCCTTCTATGTGTCCGAACTGAGACATGTACCGACAGTGCCGGGCTTCCCTCTCTGGGGTCAGTTCTTCGACATCATCACGCAAGAATGCGGTGTGCCTCAGCGGAACTGGCATCAGCAGCACGGTTCTATCGTCAGATATTTCTTCCCTTTCGGTGCGGAACGTCTTTCTGTTGCCGACGATGAGGCCCTCAAGCAGATGACAGTCAAGAACCCTTACAACTACCCTAAGCCTATCCGCGCTAAGCTTTGGATGGTTCGCATCCTAGGTGAGGGCGTTCTACTCGCCGAGGGCCAGGAGCACGTTCACCAACGCAAGTCCCTCGCTCCGGGCTTTTCGATCCAGTCTATTCGTGCACTCGCCCCGGTATTCTGGGAAAAGTCGCTTCTACTAGCCAAGTGCTGGCGCGAGGAAATGGCTGCTGAGGGTGTCACAACTAAGTCATTCGAGGTGCTGGAGTGGCTCAACAGAACTACACTGGATATCATTGGCAGCGCTGGCTTTGGATACGAAATTGACTCTCTACGCAACCCCGAGACGCCTATTCGCGAGGCCTATCGTCTGGTCTTCGCTTTTGATATCGGATCTCGAATCATGCACGGAATTCAAGCCTTCATCCCTGCCTCTAAGTACATCCCTTCCAAGATGAACCAGGATATGCAAACTTCTCGAAGCATTATTCTAGACAAAGCTACTGAGATTATTACCGAGAAGCAAGCGCAAGCAGAGAACAATACCGGTGGCAAGGATATAATTGCTCTTATCGCCCGTGACAACAAGAAGATGAAGTCCATGGGAGAAGCTGGTCTTTCCTTTGAAACTATGCGCGACCAGATCATGACTTTCTTGGGTGCTGGCCACGACACTACCGCAACTGGTGTAGCATGGACTATTCACTTGCTATCCACCCACCCCGAGATACAGTCCCGCCTTCGCGAAGAGATCAAAGACTTCATGCCCTTCCTCTTCAACAAAGAATCCCGTTTTGACCCTGAAACAATTGTCAATGCCGACCCCGACCAGCTCCCTTTCCTCGATAACGTCTGCCGTGAATCATTGCGTTACATCCCGCCTATCCCTATGACAGTGCGACAATCCCTTGCAGACGACCAGCTTGGCCCTTACAAGGTTCCTGCTGGCAGCGTCATTTACGTCCTTGCAAATGCCATCAACCGATTACCAATGTATTGGGGTCCTAACGCGGATGAATTTGACCCTGACCGGTGGGATGACTTACCCAAGACATTTACTGCCAACGCTTTTATGACTTTCCTTCAAGGCCCGCGCGGTTGCATCGGCCGCAAGTTCGCCGAAATTGAAATGAAGATTCTGCTATGCTGCTTGCTCAGCATGTACGAATTCAAGCGTGACTTTGACACGCCGGATCCTGAAGAATGGAAGATGTGGCGACTAGTACTACGACCGAAGGAGGGCGTTACTGTCAAGGTTACCGCCATCTAGAATGCATGAATCACTCTACTATTTATTAACAACTAATTCGTAATTTATCATACCGTATATATGGAGATGATCAGAAATATGAGGAAGTCGGAAAAAGACTAGTTCTGTATTATTGGCTATGGTGTTAGTACATGTTAATGGTCAGAGTCTATAATACATGTAAATGATCGCAGGCAAATTGGCATGTTTAGGCTCTTATGAGATGTACCTAACGTAAGGATTATAATAACTATTTAAAAGTTAACCACGTTTATGCTTTACGCGTGAAATGAAGATTGTTAAAGTAAAAATTAATTTATATTAATTCCGATATGTCAAGGTACTGTACAGGGCGTTACCTATGTGAGTAACCAATCATAGATACTTCGCGGTCCTAACCCTATTATGTTATACCACGCGCAAAGGGGAACTACTATATGTGACATCTAATACAGTAAGCGCTTAGATAATTTCTGGGTCTTCGTAGCCAACTAGTCATAGTAAATAATATTAATCAGTGTGAAGTGTCAAACTATGTACATCAAGGAACGTATCTGAGACAGGGTAATAGTAACACGTCAACTTTTTAAAATACATTTTTTCCTCCCAGACAACAACAATTACAAATCCAAATTACTTAGTTATATAGGTAAAATATGAAATATTATGAGATTATGTTTTTGACGACGGAATCCACCGTGATGGGGTCGCAGGCTGAAATGCCAATGCCTTGACAGCTGTTGTCGTTGCTTAGGTTGATATCTGGTGCAATTTTTGGACTGAGGTCGAGTAGACTGTTACCGCCGCCGTTGGTAGTAGGGCTACTAGTTGGGCTGCTATTGGCATTGGTGCTACTTGGGGGACTAGATTGAACAGGGTATGTTGCAGGTGTAGTTGTGGTTGTAGATGCTGCAGAAGATGGTTCGGCCTTGGCCTCGTCGCCACCGTCTTTGACTGTGTTTGTGACATCCGAACCGACAGTAATGGGATCACAGGCGCTAATGCCGATGCCTAAGCAGCTGTTTTCATTGCTCAGGTTGAGGCCAAGGTCGACATCGGGACTCAAGTTGATCAGAGAATTCCCGGAGCCATTATCTGTGGTGCTAGGCTCTTCCTTAGCCTTAGAACCGTTGTCATGTACAACGGTGGAGTTCTTCTCAGAGTCGACGGTGATGGGATCGCACACGGAAATGCCTAACCCGAGGCAGGAGTTATCATTATTAGCCGTGAGTCCGAGATCGAGATTAGGACTGAGGTTGATGAGCTGGTCCCGCTTGTGCTCGGCCAACAGTATAGGTAGGCCGTGAGCTACGCCGATGAAAGAGAGAATACAGTAAGTGAAGGCGCGCATATTGACCGTCTAGCTCTAGTCTCAACTATGGAGCTTTCGGGCACCAAAAGAAAAAAAAATAAGGGTCACGAATTTGTGTTTGAGAAGTTGGAAGATGGGGTTCTACAGAAGATCTCAGCTCGAAGAATGAAAGAATAGACACTCGTATCCAAGTGATCGACATTCTCCTACCTATTATATCCAGTAATGTATCATATCCTATATCCCCTATCCCATAGGTATCCTATATTCCATATCCCGTGTGGATACGTAAGACTTTACTTTACTATTGCGTCGATCGTCAGTGGCTACTACGAGTAATCAAAGCTAATTAAACTATGCAAGTGCTCTGTTTTTTTTTTCCAAGTATTAAGGCACACTATCGTCAACCCGCCGCGTCTAGTCCGTCGAGCCGAGCCAATGCCCGATTCAGCACTTCCCGAATAGGCAAGTTCATCGACAGGGGGGAACCTTGCTTTTGGATGCTCGAGTCACATCTCACTTTCTCCCCCACTGCGGAGACCCGAGTCTCCCACTTCCCTTCCCCTGACAAGCGCGTTGGGGGTCAGACAAAACTATTAAAGTACTCAATACTTTTAAATACTTTTTTTTTCTCATGCACTGCTGACTCCATACGAAAAGCCACCGGTAAGAGACCCGACCAATGGGCGAATAATCGATGACGATCTTTATGTTATCGCTTGTGCGTGTCGAAAGAGTTAGAAAACTTGGCCATTATCAAATCAACATTAGGTACCTAACCTAGATGGCGAATACCTACCTAATTCTACGAGTCGCGTCATGGGCACATGAGCCCTGTTTGGCGTGTGTTTTTTTAATATGTCCTACTTGGTGGATATTCTTAGACACGGTACCGAGGGAGCGGAATAGCTAGAAATGTAGGGTGGATGTAAGGGATAGATATGATAAGTAATGACACCTACGACAGGTAGGATAGTAAAGATCCCCAGGATTCTTATTAGCGTTTACCGGTAGCAGAGATCGTTCTTTGTGTTAGCATTGGGACGGAACTGTGGAGGATCTACCTCGCTGAGGAACTACCTACCTTGCTGAAGAGTAACGGTTAGCAAAAACGATATAGAGCATTACTCTATTATATTCCTACACCATCACTATCACTATAGCAAGTACCAGGACTACGAGAAGCACACCCGGAGTTCAGAATAACTCCATTTCTTTTTTTGTTCTTCCCAGACGCGCTCAATATGTTTGGGATCACGAGCAGTCTCCTTATCCTGCTCGTCGTCTTCCTGTCTTGGACCTTGGCCAAGTCCAAGCTCAAGAAGCGCCACAACAATGCAAAGGCTGCGGCCCTCGGGTGCCTGCCGCCCCTGGTCCTGCGAAGCACAAATTGGATCGGCAACTCGATATTGCGGGAGTCCATGAAAGCCACCAAGGAGGACCGCGGGCCCCAGTACGTGGCCGACAAGATGGATAGCATCTCGCCGGACTGCCATACCGTCAAGGTGCCCATCATCGACTATGAGATCCTCGTGACTCGTGATCCCGAGAATGTTCGCGCGCTCTTCACCAGTCCTGACTTTGATATTAGCCACCACCGGCAGCTGAGTTGGTTGCCACTGCTGGGCAAGGGCATCTTCACGAGCCGGGGCGACATATGGAGGCACAGCCGTGCGCTCTTGCGGCCACAGTTCGCGAGAGAAATGATTAGCGACCCGCAGCTCGAGGAACACCACCTACAAAACCTATGGGGCCAGCTCACCGCCGACGCCACGACCGGGTGGACGCCTAAGGTCGACCTCGCGCCCCTATTCTTCAAATTCACCCTCGACACAGCGACCGAGTTCATCTTCGGACAGTCGGCCAACTCCCTACAAGAGCACGACAGCGCGAAGGACCTCAGCCGCCACTTCAACGCCGCCAAGGTCTGGATCGATAAGCGCGGCGCACTGGCTAAATTCTACTGGCTCATGAACAGCAAGGAGTTCAAAGAGCACTGTGCCGTAATCCACAAGTTCGCCGACGGCATCGTAGCCGACCGGCTCGCGAGCCCGGAGAAGCGCAACGGCGCCGCCGCCGCCGACCCGGAAAAGGGGGCCCGCTTCAGCCTCCTCAACGAGCTGGCCAAGGAGACGCAGAACCCGCAGGAACTCCGCAACGAGACCCTGCACGTGCTGATCGCGGGCCGGGACACGACAGGCTGCCTGCTAGGCTGGGTGCTGTACTTCCTGGCGCGGCACCCGCGCGTATACGCGCGTCTGCGCACCGAGATCCTGAACCGGTTCGACGAGCGGCCCGCGGACTTCCGCGCGCTGAGCCAGCTGTCGTATCTGCAGTGGGTCATCAGCGAGACGCTGCGCGTGGCGACGGTGATCCCGCTGAACGAGCGGATCGCGCTGCGCGACGCGGTGCTGCCGCGGGGCGGGGGGCCGGACGGCCAGGCGCGCGTGTTCGTGCCCCAGGGCACGCAGGTGCTCGTCCCGCTGTACGCGATGCAGCACCGCGCGGATATCTGGGGCGCCGACGTCGAGGAGTTCCGCCCCGAGAGGTGGGAGACGCATCGGGCTGGGTGGGAGTTCATTCCGTTTGGGGCGGGGGCGAGGAAGTGTCTTGGTCGTGAGTGTTTTCTTCTCCTTATCTACTTGTTATTGATACGTGATTATATTATTATATCCCTATCCCCAATTCCCCAAAAATCACAGTTATATTAGTGAAGAGTATTGGCTAACTAGGTACCTCCGTAACTATCTACAGAGCAATTCGGTCGCCAGGAAGTAAGCTACGTCGTGTCGCGGTTCTGCCAAAAGTACGACCGCGTCGAGAATATGGAGGAAGGCGACGGCAGGATCCGGCTTCATCATGCTATTGAGAACCGGTCGGGCACTGGTGTTCAGGTGCGGCTGCACGAAGCAAAGGCTTCTGCTACTGCGTGACATGATATATTGGGATAACTCCACGCTCTACGCTCTACGTAATGGATTAGATAGATAGTTAATGTTGTAATGTATATGAGAATTAAATGAGGTGCATTTGAATAATACGTGACGGCTTGCTGAAATATTATTTATTGCTAACGCTCAAACTTAACTGCCTACCTCCTGATATACTTAATATCTATCCTCTTGCACGTATGTGTATTTACTTCGCCAGAAAACTAGCCCCTTTCCCCTATTCTACCACCCGTAGTGTGATCTTTACTTCATAGGAAACTCCCCTTATGAACCTTTAGCTAGCGACAATAACTCCATCGAATAGTTGATTACCTACCTAACACTACAACTACCCATCGATATACTACGTTTATCTCCGTAATAGATCAATACCAATATAACAATTTGACTAGACTACCTAACCCAGATCGTCCCCATCAGTATCCAGTTGCAGTCCACTTCCCACGTGGTAAGCATGACGCCGCAAATGCAGATCCCCTTACCCTACCCAACCCAACCCAACCCATAGTAAATACAACCATGGATCCTAGACGAATCCTCATCCACAAAATAACTACCTAGCTACAGCTAGGTTACCAATCTAGCGGTCCGACTCGATTGCGCACAGGTAATGCTACTAGTCCCATCGAGATAAATCGACCGGCTTCTCGGGCGATTCTTCAGCCAAACCTATGTTCTGCATACATTACACCACCGCCACCATCATCAACCAACTCATCAAGGCAGAATCACGAGGGGCGGCGGCGGCGGCGGCGAAATAGACCGGCCGTAACAACGTGTAAAGGGGGCGCCTTAAAGAGGACAAAGAGCAGATTCTTGGTTCAGTAAGTCACGACGCCATTTTCCAAGTTCTGCGCACGAATTATAGTTATGAAGTGAAGCAAGTGAAGCCGCCACGGGGCCGGCTATACGCATGACCCGCGCCCCTTTCGCCGCCCCGAGATGTCTTAGATAACCGCCGGGAGGATTGCGAGTGGACGCCCCGAGGATACCTGCTTACTAGGCATGCAGGTAACACGATTTATATCATGATTCATCAGTACCTGCTTCTGATGTACCCCAAGAGTATATAGAGTATAGGTACCCACCTAATAAACAATGACTGTGCCACAAGCCTGTTTGCCTGTGGTAGCTTTGGTATATATTAGGTAGCGTTGTCATACTGCCACCTCTATGTAAATACGAGAGAGCTGGTTGGACACGGTGAGGTGAAGGTGTGGCTGCATGAACTCCCTTATCCTGCAACGTGACATAGAAGCTAAAATATTATATTTTCTCCTTCGTGGTGTGTACTGGGCTTGTCCTTGCTGTGCACCTCGACGCCGTAGCCGTGTTACACTACATCAGGCAAGGCTTGACATCCACGCCTCCCCAACTTCGGGACAGCTAGATTTGACGTGGACGTGGTGTATTGTAGATAGATACCTAGGTACAGCCCTTGCGTAGAGTCTTGCTGGTAGGTAGGATAGTGGTGTAATGTAGTAAGAACTGTTTGCCCAAGAGCGTAACAGAAGCCTTAAACAAGACCCGATAGCATCCGATGAAAATTCAGAATGAAGAGAAAAACAAAACAAAAAAAAAAAACCCAAAAAAAAACCATCTCGGTACGTATCGTGTCACAGATCTCACTACCGTTAAGGTGATCAGCGATGTTAAAGACTGCCGTAGATAATGAATAAGCTAGATACCTAGTATCGAAATACCACCACGAAACATGTGTGGCTTGGTTCTAGATGCGGCATAAGTTCGATCGGAGGCCGCGAGGATAATCGAATCAAAGGACGTCGCCTGGTCTGGCCTGATTTGAGGGAAGAGCTTGTCCGAACGTTGCTGCGCAAACAGCCACAAATATGGCGAGATTTGTCCAGATTGCCTCTTAATTTGGAAATACTGCTAAGCTCCCTTGCGTGTTTGCATATCTGACGTGTTCATTTCCGGTCTGTCTAGCGGGTATCGACGACGACGACAAAAGGTACCTCGTACACTATTATACAACTAGTACCCATGTACGTAGTGTCTCGGGAGATCGCCGAGAGCCCACCAGCATATAGCTCACGACTCGTGAGGTACCCGGTTCTTCCGAATGAATAAGGAGGGTGTATTGATTGAAGCTGGTAACTGACCAGCAAGGGTTGTTACGCCATGGGCAGTTTTCTATCCAATACCAATGCACCATGTATCCGACCATTTCCATGAGGCTCTACGTATAGTGGCACTCAGACCGCAGACTAATTACTCGGGACCCTCGGCTTCCACCTAGTAAAGCCATGCACTAGGCATTACACTCTAGGCACTACATCCAACCAAAGTGCGTCGTCATGGTTCCGCAACTCGGCAGAACTGACTTGTTACCTGCTTTGGCAGGGCTGGGCTGGTAATGAATGTCTACGACATAGTGCTCTACCCACCACGGCCTAAGATAACTAAATCCACTCAACGCCGTTATCCGTTTGAGACGGTCTCTATTCTTTCGGATAGGTAAGCTCATTCAACAGCGTAAAGATCGACAAGACCATCCGCTTCGAGCGGTCCACATAAATATAAACATGATTCAATGACGAAATCAACTGGTAAATGAAGTAATCAGACGGAAACAAGTTGGGTAAGACAGTGTGAGACATCATTGGTAGACCGAACATAGAGATGCGGAGGCGCAGCTATTAGTGCTAAGCACCGACCTACCTTTTGATGACGCCCCTTTGAGCTCGACCCTACTTGTATAAAGGAAATTCTCATCGAGTTGACTCCTCAAATATCTTCTCTCGCATACGGCGGGCATAGTAATTTCAATCACACACTGTCAATATTCAGATCCCTTAAACCCTCAGGTCAAAATGCGTTTTACTACCTCCCTTTTCGCGGCTACCCTCGCCGCAGCCCACGTTATCGATCAGGCTCCTCGGGATGCTATGATCACGCCTGCACCCGTACTAAAGGGGCGTCAGTCGTGGCGAGACTCCCTCTCGTCGGCACTCGCCCAAGCTAGCTCAGCACAAGCTCGTGCCAGCTCCATCGCACAACAATACGGAGGAAGCGGAGCAGAATGGCGGGGAGCCGAAAGCTCCGCTTTAGCGACAGCCAGCTCAGCTCAAGCCGCGGCAAGCAGCATCGCTGCGCAGTATGGAAAACGCGAGCTTGATGGACGCCAGGTTTGGGAAGTCGCTGTATCCGAGGCCGAGGCTGCCGCAAGCCAGGCTGCCGCGTCAGCCAGCAGCTTTGCCGCTGATTACGGAAAACGTGATGACCACGTCCTCGATGCCCGTCAAGCCTGGAAGGAGGCGCAGTCCGCGGCCGAGAAAGCCGCCAGTGAAGTGGTTGCGATAGCAAACAGCATCGCGGGCGACTTCGGCAAACGCCAGGACTGGCAATCAGTAGTCAACTCGGCCGAAAGCCTCGCAAACTCGTGGGGTAGTGCCGGACAGTCGATCGGCAACTCGTGGGCTTCCGTCGGATCCGACATCGCTAGCTCTGCCGAGAACTTTGGCCAGTCAGTTGCCAGCGATGCTCAAGGCCTCGGGTCTTCTATCGCGAGTAGTGCTGAGGGTCTCGGGGGTTCCATCGCGAGCAGTGCTGAGGGTCTTGGCTCCTCGATCGCAAACAGCGCGCAAAGCCTTGCTACATCAGTAGTCAACAGCATTGAGAGCGTAGCTTCTACTGCCGCTGACGCCGCTCTATCATCTGCTAGCGCCGCCGTCGCCAGCGCTGAGAGCGTTGCCTCTACCGCCACCGGTACCGCTCAAGCAGCTGCCTCATCCGCCGTCGAAAGCGCACATTCCGCTGCCTCCGTCGCATCAAGCGCCGCATCAGCAGCTTCTGAGACAGCGAGTGCCAGTGCCGGTCCTAACACTAACGCCGCCCCGGGTACTATCGAATTATCATCATCGCTGCTAAGCATGTCTGTCGCAGCTTTTGCCGTTCTCTTAGGAGCTGCTCTATTGTAATTTAATAATTTCGGAGAATCAATAATATAGATTTAAGAGGGATATTAGGGAGTAACAGTATTTAGAGGTATTCTTGAGGATATAAACATGACTCTTTTAAGTCAGATAAATTTATTAGTAATGACAATATATGAATAAACTTCTTATTCAAACATATTATCAAGATCGATTTGGTGCTCGTGGTGATACATGATAGTGGTGGTCGCCGGTATACCTACCTCTTACACCTACCGAAGTAACTGCAATATTGAACCTGGATATTTATTGTGCATATCTGCAGTCTGTATCGTCTTGAATAGTGGATATGAATTATGAAAATAGAATATGTTGTGAAGTGAGGAGTTGTAAGAAGTAAGAAGTAGCAGGCAGAGGAACCCCACCAAGCTTGGCAAGCAATTAACGCGAACTCAGCGCGCTATAATTTTAGCAAGCTAGCGGGCTACGCGCCTTCCACAGCGCGACAGGTCGCGATTGCCAGCCATCCCCCAGTTCCCGGTGCCAATTACAAACGGAGATCTCAATATACAAAGTACAACGTTCAACAATATTCCCGTCCCAACTTATAATTCGTCAATTCAATCTTCTCCATCTCATCTCATCAACTTCATAACTTTCCTCCTCCTATTTCTACATAAAATCATATTCCAACAAAGATATTCACAATTCATACGATATCAATTATTCCTTCGTCTTTCAACCATCAACTCTTGTTCCGTAGGATTCAACAATTTCAAAACCCCTCACGATGCAGCTCAAGCGAAAGCGTTCCGAATCCGAGCTCTCCAGCTCCTCTAGCCCCTTCGGCTCGCCTTCGCGACCAGAGCAGCTCACTATGATGGATATGGACAGCATGGCCAACGTATCACCTATTCGTTGTACGTCACGAAGCTCGACGCCTTCCCACTTACACAGCCGCACCTTGAAACGGTTCCGCAATAGCCGTCCTTCGGACGAGGAAATCCACGGTAAGTCTAGTGGGTTAGCATCGCAGTCTTACCAGCTTTTCTAATACAGAGCCCCTATAGAACGTACCTTAAACATGCTATATACCGCCCAGAAACAGCACATTGTCCACCAGCAAAACTCTCCTTTCGCCAGCCTTCCCACACAGCCTCAACCTCAGCCTGCACAAATGCCATCACAAGGAGCCCAGGCGTCACTCCACAGCTTCTGGAAACTCCCTAATGCAACATCTGCTTCAAACACCTCAGTTCCACCTCCCGTCGATCACGTGGTGTATGACGGTCCTACCAATTGCGAAGATTGCGGACAGACATTACACGAAGGTGTAGGCGAAGACTCAATGGACGTAGACGGCTTCTGTTCAGATGTCGATACAAGCTGTGGAGGGTGTGGGAAGCACGTGTGCTCGCACTGCTCCATCACCAACCTAGGTGAACAACGAAAGTGCTTGATATGTGCTGGGAGGAAGGTCTGGGTCGGCGGTCTTGGATGGGCTGGTGTCTCGGGTATCAAGGTCTACTAAAAAGTAGATACGTTCAGATTATGTATATGGAACTTGGACTGTACGCTTAGCTACAGGTTATCCCGAATAAGGGACTTGAAGGCGGCGCTGGGCATTTAAGGTGGATAAGCGTTGGAGTTCAAGGCGAGCACGCCATCGCCGGGTTTTATGTTTGAGTATGGGGTTTGGATATACTCTAGTACAGGCGTCTTACAGCAGGCAATGCTATTACAGGGTATTGGTAACCCTTATTACTTGATACTTAGTGTTCTTCAGGGGTCAATAATAAAAGTTTAAGGAGAGTTCTTGTTATAATTCAAACTTCATATCACTCGGATTTTACTCGCTATCGGGGGTGTTGATATGGTCATATCCATACTTTCACGATCTAGAGCATCTAAGTATCTTCATACTAATAAGTTCAAATGTGAAATCCGATAGTGAACTGCTTTCGAAGTCCAAAAGTCGATATTTCATAAAGAGTTATGGACTATTAAATCGAATACATCTTGAAGAACTAGCCCATATGAAAATAAGTCATTGCCTCTGATATGAGCATGAAAAGAGGTTCTGACCAGTCCTAGGTTCTATTCCAAGGGATGTCACACATCAGATGACCAAAGCTTTGTTAAATACCTCTTGTTTCAAGAGGCAAATTGTTAGTAGGTAGATAGTGTTCATTAAAGTAAGTCTCAACCAAGACAGTACTAAAGTGATATTCTTGCTTAACATATTTGGTTCCGTGAAAATTAGTGAAACAAGAGGAGAGGGTAAAGTAAACTGATAATATGCTGCAGCTTTTTTCTACGTTTTATGACAGATTTCGGGTCATCTCAATATTAGAACAATAACAATCTATTCGATTAACTAGCTATAGGACTAAGTTATGGATAAGGAATATTGTACTCAACTTAACATATTCGATTTCAAAATTGGTTACAGACACCTGTTCACATATTATGTAACTTGTCCTTGTTCATAGTTAATAGATGTGTTGATTGCCACTAAAGGAGCTACTACGTCTAGCCATAGGGGCTTCTCGTGAACTTATGATACTTACAAGTCATGTCGAAATATAACTTAAAGAGAGAGAGACAGAGATGAGCTAACGACGTCTTATGCTGAGTTAATATGAGGTCAAGCTGAATGGACGATCATTGAATGTCACATATTTAGTCATTATGTGAGTTAAGTAATAGAAACAGGCACGTTAAGAGAGAATCAGATTAAGATATCATATTTTAAATGCGTCTATGATTTACTACAATGCTATTCAAGATTTTATAAGAAATTATGAAGTAGTACTGACGTCTATAGTTTATTTAGGGGCTATTATTCGTTGCCATAATACTTAAAGCTTCAAGTAGATCAACATTAAGTATAAATGGTGTTAGACATTATAAGTTCATAGAATTGCGTTGTTCTCAAGTGCTCTATAGCCGTTTTTAATGTGAAAATGACTTTAAGCTTAATCAGTGCCGTTTTCTATTCACTTACATTGTCCCCTGAAAAGGTACGATAGTCGTGGCAAGAAGTCCGCATTCGGCGTCGAACTATTCACTATAGCTACAATCTTAAAGGTATCCTCCATGCGAGCTCTATCCTAAAGAAGCTTGCTTCACCTATGTTTCTTAGGTTGATTCGACAATAGCTACAAAACTTAGCTATACCTATGTCCCCTCAAGACGTACATTGGATAATGTTGCATAACTAAATGTTCCAACTACTCTTATACTTCAACCTTTTTTAGTAAAATGAAATCAATAATGGCAATATGAAAAACTGTGAGGGGAATATAAGTATAGCTGGGAATCGAGAAACGTAAGAGTTTTCTAATAATAAAGAATAATACTATGAAACAAGTTCTACTAGTTGAGAAACCATCGAGCATCATTATAACTTGAGCTACTGGGTGGTGCTTGTTTGCTTGATTCTTGACTCCGCTATGAAATAGTTAAGAGTAGTAACTACTTGCGGTATTAGACCTAGTTACTCTTTGATATAATTACCATAAAATCTGGATACATAAATGGAATATAAATAGATCTAAGACCATGAATGCATGCCTAACTGTTCTATCTGAGTTTTGTTTATTGTAAGTTACATATAAAATCGTAATTGAGTGAATCTAAGACAGCAGCGCCTTTATAGTAGTACATAATCCACATATGCATTTACGCGATTATAAAGTTGCGAAAGAGGAATAAAATACCTTCAGATCTTGCATATCTCATCCTACGTCATTCTAGACGTATACTTGAGCTTTCCGATTAAGGCTCCCACTGACAGGAACGCGGGGCAGCGGGGTAGGTACTACCTGCTATTGATCAACAGGTACCTACCCGGGCCTATCTGATTTCCCTTGCCCTTATTTTACTTCTTATCATGAATGTAGGGAGTTAACTCATTCTTAGTTCTACCTGTTTCGAATTACTTACAAAGGCACTTTTCGTCTCGAAAATGAAGCTGAAAGGAACTAGAGACGCTAGTCATGCGGACAGTTGGTATGATGGGGATCCTGATAGCTTGTCTAGCCAGCTCGACAACTTTCTCAGCGATGTTCCAGGCTCTATCGATGACAATGGCCTCCCGATTCCCGGCGCCAAAGTAGTGATTGCACCGTAGGTTACTTTCCTCTTCTATCCCTTACTCATATATTTCCGTTGTTCCTGCGGAATTCCTAACTTCTAGCTTGCCCAAAGGCATGCAGGCTATTCGTACTCAGGACCCTGCGCAGCCTGGGCGTATAAGTGTCTCGACCTCACTAAAGCCAAGCGAGTCTTCGTCCTTGGACCTTCTCATACGTATTACCTCCGCGGATGCGCCCTTACCAAATTTGCCAAGTACGAGACGCCCTTCGGCGACCTGATGGTCGATGAGGATGTAGTCCAGCAGCTTCGCGACACGGGCAAGTTCCAAGATATCCCCAGCAGAGGTGATGTGGACGAGCATTCGCTAGAGATGCATCTCCCGTTTCTCTACAAGCGGCTCACACAGACGTTCGCGTCCGAGGCCGAGTACCCTACTATCGTACCCATCCTCATTGGGGATAATAACGGGGCGGAGGAGAAAGAGTTCGGCAAGCTGTTGGCGCCGTACCTACAAGACCTAGACAACGCGTTCATCGTGAGCTCTGACTTCTGCCACTGGGGGTCGCGATTCAGTTACACGGCTTACGCGCCGGAGGGCAAGGTCGACCAACTACAGTCTCTAAGCCGAAAGACGCCTAAGCCGACAAACCCACCTATACATGAAAGCATCAAGCAGGTCGACCAGCTAGCCATAGATGCCGTTGCGTCAGGCGACCACGACAAATTCGTTGACAACCTCAGACACACCAAGAATACCGTCTGCGGACGTCACCCTATCGGTGTTGTGATGGCGGCCCTGGAGGAGCTAGCAAAAGACAAGCCCGATCCTAACAAGTATCGGTTCAAGTTTGTACAGTACCAGCGCAGTAGTTTGGTCGAAGATGTCACAGACTCGAGCGTAAGCTACGCATCCGCGTACGCGATTGTCTAAGGGGGGGTAATAGATAAGGATTTGGAGACGAGGAGTTAGTGATAGATGAGCTCACGCTCCAAAGCTGATAGATGTATTAATGACTATTGAATTCATGAAATGGATGGCTTATGATTAGGTACGATTACGGCTTAAATTATAAGCTGATACTTAGATTTATTTCTAGGTATTTGCATGTGATACTAAATGTTGTCATTGTTTTATGTCTTTGATATTAGAATATAGACATGCCTAAACAGCTAACCTAGGGAGGACAATATCTTGACGAATCGGTCATCTTTCCCTTTTCTGATAATGATTTCGATTCGATGCTCCAAAATATTCTGAGTTTCACTACTTTGATCCACGGGACTTTCTCTGGATTAACAATGATCTAGTCTTCGGTAGGGAATCGTTGAACCTAACGATGAATATTCTACTATAGTGGCGCATCGTATTAGGTATTGGAATACATCTGCAATGAATTACTAAGCTAAGAGAGATGCGATAATAGGCGGCATATTGAGAAGTTCTACGAGATTTAGGTTGGACGAGCTAGAAATTAGATGTATACTATTAATTGGCATCTCACCACAACTAGGGAGACTCCATAATGACGAGATTTTGATGATGACGAGTCACTGTGGCTTCTGATGGTGGTCTGATACGAGTATGTATACTGGATTACAATTAGACCTTATTGCTCCTGGATCCTAGACTTGTAATCGTTTAGGTTGGAGTGCAGATGCAAGCTACCGTAAAATGGTTGCCTAACCAGAGATTCAAGCTTAAATGTTGAGTCCGGTTGCGTGTGACCTGCGTGGCTGATGCCGACGGAGCCAATTGATCCTAATGGTCGGACTCGGATAGGTTCAAAGACGACATTCGGGATTAACAGACGAATAAACCGGAGAACGTCCGTAGTGTTTCTTAGCTTAAGTGGTACATAGTGTAGGTAGTCAAGTAGTTAGGAGGTAGTTTGGCATTGATCGACGTGGAGAATTGAAACGGGTACTGTTGAATGGCTAGAGATCTGTTCATGACAGGGGCCGATCCAAGAGTTGATCGTGTAACTTGAGTTAGGTAGTAGTTAGCGGTAGTAATGAGGAATTCTTATCGATCGGGTGGCTCAGCCTGACGCAAGTGTCTTATAGTGGTGCTTTTAGACGTCTCCTGAGGCTATGTCAAGCCCAATCGTGTACCTAAAATTGGTTGTTCAGCCTCGAGGAGACTAGAATCGGGATGGCTATGCTGGGGATTTAGTGATTTAGTGTGGTTACCCCAGTCGGCAATTTTTAGATTATGTACCCAAGGTACTATTTATATGGAAAAGGGGAGATATATGGCGGTGATTGAATGCTGTTATAAGCTGATTCTGCGGCTATTAGTCCTTAGTTAAAGCGAGCTTCGCATGAGAATTTTGAGAATATCCTATTGCATTCTCCACAAGTGAAGATCTTGATAAAAGGGATAAGGAGATTCTATATGGCATGGATATATGATCATATGAAATGGTACATTTATCAAGATAAACAGATATTAAACATGGAAAATTGTAAAGTTGATCACTGCCACTTTACCCGACTTGCCCTTAGGTGATTAAGGCTACATAACATAGTACCTGGATGCTTAGGATGTCAGCTAAGAATAATATTATGTACCCTGCCACCCAATCTTACTGTTGATGAGAATTCTCTGGTCAACTTTGAACAGTTTAAGTTTGCATTCTGCATCGAGGTTAGTCTGATAATAAATCTCATGGGTGTAGCTGCCGTAGCTATTTACGCATGCCTGTAAAAATTGGTTAGGCGATTCTCGCATCTGATACAATGTTAGAGATTCAGACGACGCAGAGCCAATAATATTCGAGGTGGATCATTTATAGGAGACAAGCTAGGTAGCGTACACTAGCTGTTACTGGGTCTATTGGGTCTATTACTGGGATAGGCGATACGATGCATAGGTCTTGTATATTGCCTAAAAGAGTATTAGTACCACTTTTAGGACTCCACTTGCCTGGACTAGTTCCATCTAAACCCTTTTTTTGGCTTCAGCTTGTCAGCTTGGCTTCAGTCTCCAACAACAAATAACCAACTGTCAAAACCATCTTTCTTTCCCGTTAGTATTATTGAGATTCCTTTTTTTCGTAAACTTAAATTCTTTCCTTCGTCTCTTTTCCATACGCTAGAGAAACCGAATATTGATAGCCCTCTCGAATTAGTGCGAATAAACGACGAGATCCATATTGAAAGCAATTTATCCTAGTCGAGTCTGCTCCCTAGCAGACAAAGCCGCCGAAGCGCCATGAGTGTAAGAAATCTACCCCTTGAGTGTTTCAATGGATCCACCCAGTTTAGAATACCACACGCATCTCCTACCCTTCTGTAAACTTATTGTTTTCAATTTCATTTCCATTATTTCTTTTTAAACTTCACAGAACTGGTATTCTGAGATAAATAATCACTAACATTATGGCACAGTACGGGTTTGTTACCTCCTTTTCGAATCATAAAATACAATTGCGATAAAAGCGACGTTTAAGCGACTAACACTTTGATTAATCTAGATACGGTGGGCAGCAGAACCCCTTTGACGAGCGGAACAGCGCCGTCAATAACAACTATGGACAACCAGACTACGGAGATGAATATGGCTGTATGTTTTCAAATACGATATGCGACACCCTATGTAATCACGCTAATGAAATATAGCAAATGTCGAGATGGCTTCGCTCACCCAAAACCAAGGTGGTTTTGGAGGCGGAAATGCGAACTCTATCCTGGGCGAGGTCACAGAAATCAACCGTGGAATCGACATGATTGACCGAAATCTTGACCAACTTAAGATGCTTCAACAAAGAGCCCTCGACGATGCCGACGCCTCCGCTTCTAGCAACACCAATCGCCAACTGGATGCCCTCAGCTCCGAGACCATGGCCCATTATAGATCGCTCACCGACCGCGTCCGACAATTGAAGAGTAACCCTGAGAGCCAGCAGAAGTTTGCTCAACAAGTTCGTCGCGTCGACAGCCGATTAAAGGATGCGATTAGGGCCTACCAGGGTGTCGAGTCAGCGTTCCGGAAGAAGACCCAAGAACAGATGGCACGACAATACCGTATCGTACGACCCGACGCCGACGAGGAAGAGGTGCGAGCTGCCGTTGAGGATCAAACTGGTGGTCAGGTTTTCCAGCAAGCATTGATGCAGAGCAACCGTCGTGGCCAAGCCCAAGCTGTTCTGAGCGCTGTGCAGGATCGCCATGCACAATTAAAGAAGATCGAGCAGCAAATGATCGAACTAGCGCAGCTGTTCCAAGATATGGATACGCTCATTATACAACAAGAAGTTGCTATTGCCAACATTGAGCAGAAGGCTGAAGAAGTGGTTGAAAATCTCGACAAGGGTAATCAAGAAGTGGGTGTAGCTGTCAATACTGCTCGGGCGACGCGAAAGAAGAAGTGGATTTGCTTGGGTATTGTCGGTATGTGTCTACCCTCCCTTATTTTTATGATGTGTATGGGAAATTGACGTTCTGATCTAGTTGCTATTATTGCCGTTATCGTCATCATCGTCGCGGTATACGTATCGGTCACAAACGCGGCGAAAAACACGGCCACCAAGCGCGACATTATACAACCAAACATACGGTCATGGTTCGAAAACGTGGCTGTTCCCCAACTTCTTAGCGAAAGAGCCCATCCAAGGGCATTTATCGCTAGCGGGGAACATCCAGGCGCCTAATACAGGATTACTACTTATTATTAGTTTCCCTATAATCGAGCTTCATCGCAGCCTCTATACTTAAAAGTACAAGTAGGGGTATAGGGCTGGCAGATGTGCTCATTCCCCACTACTTATCATACCTACTATTCACGAACTTTGGCACGCAATCTCCTTCGTGTTCGCTTCGTATATTATACCTCTCCGTCGTCATTATACATATTTAACTCAGATACCTTTTTGCGTGGTAATTTGAAGCCAAACCGCTTGATTCGTCAGTTGGAAGTCAGACTCGATATTGGATTCCGATGGACGGATAGCGAAGGTTGGCGACCTACTGATAGAAGGGGCGGATTGTCTCTGGTAGCTTTCTGGCTACCTGGTCCTAGGAACAAAATAGTCCTTTGTGTACTCAGTCTTATTTTGTAAGCAGGCTTGGAGAAGAGGAGTTGCTCGCATTTCCCGGCGTTTGGACTCACTACGCAGAATTTTATTGAGTACTGTTTCATTGGACTGCGACTTATATTGATGCTGAGTGTGTTGCGTGCTGTTTGCATAGTCAGTGTGATAATGTTGTGTAATTATTAGTGATGTTTACTGTGACAAGACATACTTCACTGGGCACTACGTAGACGAAGACTGGCTATTATCATATTATGTTACTACGTATTCTTGTACTGCACATGAAGGCTATCGAGTCAAGTGTTGTCTTTATTTTGGGGTATATCTCAGGGGGTAGTTCTTGGATATACCTATGCATATAACCGTAGATTCTGTTAAGGTACCACTAGAATATTCATTTAAGCACATGACGTCCTTTCACATGCATCCTTGGTTCAAACATTAGACCCATTTCTGGGCCCAATTAAAATAAAGTTGCCGGTATGCGTCTTTATATATCGACATAAGGACTCGTAACATTATTATTATAAAAAATAATAATATTTAGATAAGTTTTATAATATTTATTAATATCTAAAATAATTATATAAAATTTTGGAAATTATATTTATATTTATATTATTTAATAGATTAAATTACTTCGTTAAATATGGCTTATACATTTTATAATAATAAATTTACATTATTTTTTTTTTTTATATAATTATTTTTAATTATTATAATATTTTTTTTTTAAACATATTTTAATTTAATTTTTTTTATAAACATTATTTATTTTATTTTAATAACTTTTTATTAACATATTATATATTACAAATTAAATATTTATTTTAAATATAAATAAAAAATAAATTAATATTATTATATTTATTTTATAATATTATATTTTTAAAACTTTAAATTTTATATATATTATTAATATAATAATTATTAATAATTTAAAAGTTATTATAATAAAATTTATATTTAATTATCCGTTATTTTATATATAATATTTAATTTTTAAATATATATATTTTAATTAAACTTTTTTTTTTTATAAATATATTTATATTTAATTTTTTATTAACTTATTATTATTAAAATTACTATAAATTAAAAATGCTTTATATTATATAATTAACTATTTTATAAATAAAACCTTTTTTTTTTTTTTTTTTTTTTTTATATATATTTATTATATTTAATCAATTATTAATTTTATAAAAGTTATATATTAAATATTAAATAAAAACTATTATATTTTTTTAATTTAAAAATATAATTATAAATAATTAACGTTTTTTTTAATAAATTTAAAAAGTTAATTATAAAATTTATTTAATATTTACGTAACATAATTTTTTTAATATTTCCGTTAATTTTTTTAACTTTTTTATTTTTTTTTAACCGTAATAATATAAAATATTTAATTATTAAATTTTTTTTTAAATTTATTAAATAACGTTTACACTTATAAATAATCTTATATTATTATTAATTTACTTTTTAAAATATTTATATATATTACCAATATAAATAAATAATAATTAACAATTAATAAATAATATAATTTATATTAAATATATTTTTATTTATTTTATAACATATTTTATAATTATTAATAAAATATATATAATTATTAATATATAATCGATTACCTATTATATTAATAATATTGAAAATTAAATTAATTATAAATTAAATAATAAAAGATTTAATTTTTTTATTAATTAATAAATAAAATATTTAATAATAATTTATTATACGGTTAATATTATATTTAAATATTAATATTATTTTAATACGTTTTTTTAAATTATTTTAATTATAATATAATTTTAATTATAATAAATTTTACATAGTTAAATAAACAAATTATTATATTTTAATATTTTTTAAAAATTTACGGTTTTATCCGTCGAAGATATTTTTTACGTTTAAATTTTTAAAAATTATTATAAAAAATTAATAAATAATTAATAAATAAATAATAAATAATTCATAAATAATTAATAAATAATTTTTTAATAAATGATAAAAAATTGATAAGTTGATAAAGAAAATAATTGACTAAGATTTATCAAGATATTTAAATGTTTTCAACGGATTTTACCGTGTAAGCTTGCAAATACGTGAAAACGCTTGCGCAAACTTACAAGTACATGCGTTTTCCTAAATTTTACTTACCGTATATAATAGTTTTTTAGATACTTTTTTATATTTAATAACCTTATATAAATATTTTTTATAAATAATAAAATAATTATTTATTTATTTTTTATTAATAATTATTAATAAAATTATTTTAATTTTTATATATTTGTATATAATTTAAAAATTTAATCGATTTAATTTATAAAAATATTAAATTATTTATTTAAAATTTTATTTATATATTAAATAATTTAAATTATTTAAATCTTTAAATAATTTTAATAAATAATTAATAAAAATATTAATTTTATTTAAATAATAAATAATTTTAATATTATAATATTTAATAATATTAAAAAAACAAAAAATTTTAATAAATTATTTAATTTTAATATTAATTATTTTTAATAATTTATAATTTATAATTATTATAATATTTTTTTTTTTTATTTAATATTATTTTTAATAATTTTTTTTTTTACGTTAAATAATACTTTTATATATTTATTAACTTTTTAAAAAAATAAACTATTAAATAAAAAATTTTTCGGTTTTTATATATATATAATTATAAAATAATTATTTTTATATATTTTTTATTAACATTTAATTTTAATATTATTAATAATTTTTAATTAAATTTTTATATAATTAATATTATTATAATAATTTTATAAATTTATTTTTAAATTATTTTTACTATTACGTTTAATTTTATAAATACATTTTTTTACTTTTTTATAAATATTATAAATAAAGTTAATATTTTCAAATAATTTTTTATAAAATATTAAAAATATTTAATAATATTAATAAAAATTTTAATTTACATTATTATTTATAATATTTGATGGTTATATAATGACTAAGGAAAAGTCACGTTTCCCATGCATTAAAGGAAGGGCATACACACATATATAAATAGGGCATGCTTTTGGTATGCTTTTTTAGATAGTTTTTCTTCTTTAAATATTATAAATATATTTATTTTAATTAATTGTTATTTTATTAATTATTATTTTATTTATTTGTTTTATTTTATGTATGTATTTATTAATATTAATTAATATTATTAAATAATTAGTAATATAGATTAATAAAGTTAAAAAAGTTATTATAATAATAATTTGGAAAATTTTATTGTAATAATATATGCGATAATAATACTATATTTTTTATTAAAAGATATTTTTTTTTATTTATAACGGAGTATTAATTTATATTATTACGTAATCTTTTTAAGTTTTTATTATTATATTGTAATTTAATTTTATTATTTATTATAATATTATCCTTTGTAATATTTATAATAGTTTTAGAAATGTAAGTAAAAAGTTTAGTATAAGCGTAGGTTTATTTTATAAACGATAACTTAATTTAGTAAGAAAATATGGACAAATTATGTAAATTAATGAAATATATTTTCGGTTAAAATATAATCTTCGAAATATTATTTAATTATATAACGGTAAAATAGTAGTTTATTAATATTTAAATAGTTATTTATAAGTAGAAAATAATTTAGGTATTATTTATATTAGTAGATATCGAAAATACCGATGTAAACATAGCAAATATTTATATATCTAAAAAAATATTAAACGAATATAAAGAATAATTTAAAGGATTTATAGTAAATAATTTTATTATATTATTAAAATAATTATGATTGGTATTATAATATATATTAATATAAAAAGGTATTTATTATGGTAGGTATAATGTTAATTATGTAAAATATTTTATTAATTTTGTATTAATAAGTAAATTATTAATGTGGAATTTTAATAAGTTAAAGGAAGTAAAATAAAGGTAGTTAATTATATTAATATAGAAAGTTTTAGTGTATAATATCGAAAGGGGTATGATTTATTTAAATATATATGTATTTATGTATGTTATAATATAAACATAATAATTAGCAATAGTTTATAATTTTGAGATATTGTTGTATTTAATTTTATATATTGGATAAGTTTATAATTAAAATATTATTTTAACTGGATTGTTACTTATACGTTAATAACGTGCGTCATTTTTTTTATAAAAGATATAATTTCCTTTTTTTTTTTTTCCTTTTTTCTTTATTAATCTTTTATTGATTTTTAATATTTTATTAAAATCTTAATAAACAAGATTTTTATTATACCAATTACTGCCTTTATTATACCATACTTTCCTTTAGCTTTAAGTCCAAGTATCTTAAAGAATATTGAGCTATTTATAATAAATAATTTATTTTTAGTAAAGGAATTAAAATAATCTTTAAGTAATAAGTATTTACGTTTTTTCCCCTCCCTTTCCAATCTTATAAAAACTTCCCTTATTTTCTTTAAGGTTTTTTTTATTAAATAATAATCTTAATGTTTAATAATATATAGGATAATAAAGGTATAATTTAGGTTATAATTTAAGGTATAAAGTTGGTTTAATATAAGAATAATTTAACCCATTAATCCTAAAAAATAGATCTAAACCCCTTA